TCTCCAAAAGACGTTGACGAAAGGAAAAGCTGCCGGTTTCATCTAAACCGAGGACATACTACAGAGGAATGTGATGCATTAAAAGATGAGATAGAAATGTTCATCAGAGGAGGCCATCTGCAAAAATTTGTAGATGAAAGAACACGAACAAAAAGTCCTACTAGAGAAAATTCTCAGCACAGAGAAACCGAACGGTCATATCAAAGGGCCGAACGAAGACACAAGTAAAGTCGTAGCCGCAGTCATAGCCCTTACTGCTCAGTTCGTGGTCGTATCGTCTAGAAGATATGATAAAAATTCCTTCCTAACATGTGGAATGCGACTAATCTATAAATTTACTTAAACATTACTATCATGCTTATTTCAATTTCTTAAGGCATAGACTTTTGTTGTTTAAATTCTTTTGTTGGAATAAACACTTATGACATCACTATCACGTTTTTTTTCATGCCATCAGCCATTCGGCCTCGCATGAATTCAACCATTCCGCTTCCCACGCATTTGACCGTTCGGCCTCACATGCATTCGGCTATTCGGCGTCACATGCATTCGTCCATTCGACATCCCATGCATTCAATTCCGCCGTTCGGCCTCACAGATATTTGGTCATTCGGCCTCCCAAGTGTTCAGCCATTCGGCCTTACAAGGCAGAAGACAAGATCAGGCACACACCTCCTTTGGTCAATCCGGAGTTAACCGTTCGTACCATTCATAAAACCCAGGGAACGTTCCAAACCGAACTCCTTCGTTCAAAATCAAACGACAAAGAAAATCTCTCATGGACTATAAATCAAAGACAATCCCCCATGGACTATAAATCGAGCGGTAGAGACAGTCCTCCATGGACTATAAACCGAGCGGTAGAGACAGTCCCCCATGGACTATAAACCGAGCGGTAGAGATAGTGCCTCATGGACTATAAACCAAGCGGTAAAGACAGTCCCCCATGGACTATAAATAAAAGATAGTCCCCCATGGACTATAAACCGAGCGGTAGAGACAGTCCCCCATGGACTATAAACCGAGCGGTAGAGACAGTCCCTCATGGACTATAAACCGAGCGGTAGAGACAGTGCCTCATGGACTATAAACCAAGCAGTAAAGACAGTCCCCCATGGACTATAAACCGAGCGGTGGTGACAGTCTTTCATGGACTATGATCCGAACAATAAAGACAGACTCCCATGGACTATAAATCAAAGATAGTCGCCCATGGACTATAAATCAAAGACAGTACCCCATGGACTATAAATCAAAGACAGTCACATATGGACTATAAATTAAAGACAGTCCCTCATGGACTATAAATCGAGCGGTAGAGACAGTCCCCCATGGACTATAAACCGAGCGGTGGAGACAGTCCCTCATGGACTATCATACAAACGGTAAAGGCATTCTCCCGATGAACGCTCACTCACACGCATTCACAAGTACATGGTCATTCGGCCTCACAGGTATTCGGTCATTCGGCCTCACAAGTACTATGTTGTTCGACTTCACAAATATTCGACCATTTAGCCCAAAAAGTATTCAGTTAGTCAGCTTCATAGTGCAGATAAACAAAATGCTATCAAAGTCGCTAGTTAACGTGGGAAAAAAGTTCTATAAAGAACTCTCATCATAAGCCGATCGACCTAGTAAAAAGTTCAAAAGGTAACTCCTGAAGTCCATCATTCGGTCAGAGACGAGCAAACGACTCAAATTACAATCAAAACAACCTCCCAATAGAACAAGGATGACCTTCCTCAAGCTCATATAAGTCCTACACTTAACCCTGGCTAAAGTCAAACAGTTAACTTGGACTTGGGGGCATTATGTATAGTATGATATCTAGGCCGAACGGTTATCATCCAAGACCGGTCGATCTTGATACTGTAGCAGCGCTCGTCAACAACAACGCTCGCCAACAAGGTCAAATTGGGGCAGATCCAAGACCGATGTAGCAGCGTTCGTTAACAACATCGCTCGTCAACAATAGCGCTCGTCAACAAGGTTAAACCGAGGCAACGCTCGTTCAAACCAAGTTAAAAGATGTTGGGCCACAATTGGGCCAACATTTANAGAAAGAAAGAGGAAAAAGTATAGATCCCGCCACATTTTAAAACTTGAAAGCCTCTCTAACTAATTTTCTGTTCCATTGTTTCTCTCTCCTCTTGCAGAGCCACAACAACCATGTTGCGCTTCTTCTTCGTGGCTCTCTGGTTTCTCTGCCTCCTCCCTCACGCTCTCCCCCACCCCTGCATAGGCGTCACCTACTCCGCCCCCAGCGGCTCCTCCAACCACCACTCCCAGGAGGTGGAGCGCATCTCCGGTGGCCTCCGGCAGCTGAAGGCGAGATCCCTCCGGTTGGAAAACGCGGACCCCTCTATCACCCGGAGCCTCCTCTACACTAACACGACGCTCTTTCTCACCATCCCCAATTACATGGTCTCTCAAATCGCCCAAAACCGCTCCGTAGCAGAGTCCTGGCTCTACACCCACGTAGTACCATTCTATCCACGTGTCAAAATCACCACCATCTCAGTAGGCAACGCCTTCCCCGACGTGCACCCGGAATCCCTCAACGACCTCCTCCCGGCAATCTCCAACGTCCATGTGTCCCTCCGCGTCCTCGGCATCCGCAAGATCAAAGTGTCCACGTCGTTCTCCTTCGTCACCGCCCTGTCATCCCCGTTCCCGCCCTCAAACGCACAGTTTCAAGAACCCCCGGGGATCACACTCTTCGGTCCGCTCCTCCAATTCTTGCAGGATACAGATTCCTGCTTCTTGATCAACCTCTACCCTTACAACCTCTACCGTTTGAACCCCGAGATCCCCCTCGGCATCGCGCTCTTCCAAGAATACCCTTTCAACTTCCGCGACGACTTCACCACCGGCGTCCGCTACCGCAACCTCTTCGACGTCATGGTCGACGCCGTTGTCACCGCCCTCGCTGTCGCCGGCTACGAGACAATCCCCCTCGTCGTGACCGAAACCGGCTGGCCAAGCTTTAGCGCCGTCGGGAACGAGTTCGACGCCAACCTCGGCTACGCCGGGATTTACCTGAAGGGCCTGGTGAAACACCTGAAGTCCGGGATGGGAACGCCGTTGCTGAAGGACGGTGTGCGCGAGGTTTTCGTGTACGAGATGTTCGATAAGGACGAAGGAACAGGAAGGAGTTGGGGGGTTCTCTACGCAAACGGAACTGTCAAGTATCGCGTGGATTTCTCCTCTTCCTCTCTTGCTTCTTCTCCTGTTCGCGTGACGGTGATCATCGTTTTCTTGATTTTCGTTATTGCGTGACTTTGTTATCGGTTGAGTTGTGCTGTTTTTGTTGTGGAATTTCTTCATGCAGAGACTGACGTGGCCATAATTACATTGGTTCTTCTCTTTTGTATTTCTTGATCGATTAGGTTTTTTTGTATGTCATGATAGATAACAACAATACATCTGGTTCTTGTGTGAACGCTGATTCTCTTTGATCTTGGGATAGAAAAATAATACTTTTTACACCCTCTTTAAAAATAAATATCTCAACAAATTCCTTTAACATAAGAAAGTATAAATAAAATAACTATAATTAAAATATTAATATTTTAACTTAAATTATTCACATATATTATATATTTATTTATTTATCTTCAGTACTGTCAATCACTTTCTATGATATAATTTTTTGTGCAAACTTTTTATTATAAAAAATATTAATTTTATGTTTAAAATATTTATATATTTAAAGAAAATAAAAGTGAAGAGTTTACGAAATATATGATATGAGAAAAAAAAGTTAAATGTTTAATAAGTATGTATAAGATGATCGTGTACCTTTATCATTTATTATTTATTTTTATTGAGTTTTCACACTTTAATTGATTTTTAAATTAATTAAAAATACGTACCAATTTTATTTAGAATTTATCTCCCAAAATTTCCCTCTAGCTACACTCCAATATTTGGGCCATATATGGGTGATTACAAATAATGGATCACTCTATTCATTGTGGGATGAACTGTGGCATAAAATAAAATTGATTTACAACTTCTTTAACTGGGTTTAAATTGAAATCATTATTACAAGATAGGTAAACGTACTTCTTTGTTCTTTGAAATGCATTTGTATTTTTTTTATGGGTTAAATATGTTTTTAGTCCCTAAACTATTGGCCGTTTCTGGTTTTCGTCCCTCTTTCAAAATAAGGTACAATTTGGTCCTCATTCTTTTCGAAACTCTAGTTTTAGTCCTTGAAACTTTGGTTTTAGTCCTCGAAAACTAACCTCGAAAACTACCACATTTTTAACGGTGTTAGTTTTCGAGGACTAAAACCAAAATTTTGAAAAGAATGAGGACCAAATTGTACCTTATTTTGAAAGAGGGACGAAAACCAGAAACGGCCAATAGTTTAGGGACTAAAAACATATTTAACCCTTCTTTTATTATATCATATCTCAGTAAAATCTATATGAGCTAATAATCACTAGTAAAAAAAAGACTTTTGAAGGCGCCATATATGCTTCGGTTACGAAAAACTGAAGCATAAAACCCTATATACCTCGGTCACCAGTTCACCCGAAGCAGAATGGTTGTACTAACAGCCTTACTGTCTCGGTTTCTTAGGCACCCGAGACTTATGCACCTGTGAATGCATGCTTTTCGCCTGCTTTTTGCCTGAACCACTGACAGGTCAGCTACAACATCGGTTCTTCAGGAACCGAGGTGGTTAAGGGGACTTTATACTTCGGCCATTGCTTTTAACCGGTGCAATATTGTGATATTACCTCGGGCTTTTTAGTAACCGAGGTAGTAGCTTCATTCACCTCGACTTAACCTACACACTTTCATTTGCGTCGCCCAGCACAGCTTCTTCTCCCTAAATTTTTTTACTCTCTCTTGAGTCAACCAAATTTGGGATATCACTCTGTTTACTCGCCTCTCTTCGATGAGAAAACTGGATCTGGGATTTTCCATGAACGAGAGTGCGGTGACTGCAAGCCCAAACCGAGAGTGCGGATCTGGGATTTTCCATGAACGAGAGTGCAAATCTGGGATTTTCCATGAACGAGAGTGCGGATCTGGGATTGCCAGCGGCGATTGCCAGCGTCATGGAGATGCGAAGCCCCAACGCGATGCGAAGCCACGTCAGGGAGATTGCCAGCGGCGCCGACATCACCGACTATGTGGTCCAGTTCGCGCGGAGGCGTTTGCGCGGCGTGTCCATTCTCAGCGGCAGCGGGGCCGTCGTGAACGTTACTCTTCGCCAGCCCACGGCTCCTGGCGCCGTCCTCTCCCTCACCGGCTCGTTTCTCCCCGGACCATCCCCTCCTGGTGCCACCGGTCTCACCATCTATCTCGCGGGAGGACAGGGACAGATCGTTGGCGGCGGGGTGGTGGGCTCACTGGTGGTGGCTGGTCCAGTTTTGATAATGGCGGGTACGTTTTCCAATGCAACTTACGAGAGATTACCTTTGGAGGAGGATGATCAGGAGCAGGGTGGTGGCGGTGGGTCTCTGCCGGGGATGGGAGGCGGTCCTGGCGAAGCTTCGTCGTCAATTTCGGTGTATAATAATAATGTTCCTCCGAATCTAGGTCTTCCAAACGGACAACAGGTGAACCATGAAGCTTGTTCTTCTCCTTGGGGTCATGCTCCTCGTGCCATACCTCCTTTCCAAAGATGAACATGGATTTTCTCAAATCAACCAAACACTATATTACTCTTGAGAAGGTAATAATAATATTATTATTAATATTAAAAAAATAAGACCTTACTATCTCGGTTATGGTCACAACTGAGGCAGTAGAGGTGAACATACTGGATCGGTTGACTTGACCCGAGGCGAAATCATTCAACTTTGGGCCTCGGTTTGAAACCGAGGCATAAAACTCTGGACTTTTTGCCTCGCTATATATGCCTCGGTTCAGGAACCGCTGCCAAATGACGAAAATAACCGTTGTCGTATCCCCTGATTGCACTAGTGAATACTTGTCAAATTAAGAAAAAACAAGATTACAAAATAATTTTCTCTTAAATACATTTCCTTCTAACTACTCTTTAGGTTAAATTTTATTTAAAATAACAAAATCATAAGTGAGTATTGATGGTTAGTATTAGTTAGAGAAGGTGTGGTGAAAATCGTGATAAAAGAATAGTATGGTGAAAAAAGAACCTTTTCATAACATACAAATAAATATATCCTGTTTTTTTTTCTTTTTTTTTATTTTAAATTCCTTTGAGTTTATTTTTGTGTTTTAGTTTAAGGATTTAGGATCCGTCTTCCTTGTTCCGCTATGATGTCCAAAGTCTTGATCATCTAACTTATCAGAACTATCGATCTATTTGAGGTTGATCTACAGAAAAAGTTCTGACACTCAAATTACATATATTTCTTTAAAAATTTAGTAAAATTAAGTCATGAAAAAAATGTTTTTTACATTGATAGCAAACCATTTATAAACTTGGCAACAGTTCAATCATATCACTTAATTATCTATTAATAACTGTTATAATTTTTATTAACTACTTATCGATGGTTGTTATCGTTATTAATTATCTTTTAATTATTTCAACGAGTGTCTTCATCTATTAATTACTAAGTTGTTAGTCGCTCGACCTATGGTCCATTCACTGGACGGATGATTGCCATACAGTACATTTTATTTACTAAATTTTGTGTGATTGTGATGTTTTAAAATTGGACTATGGTGAAAATGGTGGGTATTAATAAAATTACTATAATAACTAAATAATACACAAAACAATATTAAAAATAGCAATATGATTATTTCACTATAACAGAAAATAAAATAGAGCATAAATTTATATATTTTAACATTTAAAGTACATGCAATACGTTAGAATGTTTAAATTCAGATTTTAATGATATTTATCAATATTTATTTATTAATAATAACAAATTTATATGTAAATTAAACAGAAAATGAAAAATATGTTATGTTGACTTCTATTTTTTTAAGAATAAAAATTAAATAATTCATTTTCATGTTTTCCAGTAGTTTCTTTTTTGTCTAACCCATTATGGTTTAAATTAATTTTATGTTTTATTTAAATGGATTACCAACCATTTAGTTTTCTAAATCAGATATTAGACATGAAAACCAATGAAGAATTAACTGATTAAGAATCAAGAAATAATTACATGTGAAATTATACTAACTGTATAGTATGATATCTAGGTCGAACGGTTAGCATCCAAGACCGGTCGGTCTTGATACTGTAGAAGCGCTCGTCAACAACTGCGCTCGCCAACAAGGTTAAATTGGGGCAGATCCAAGACCGATCGGTCTTGATACTGTAGCAGCACTCGTCAACAAGGTCAAACCGGGACAACGCTCGTTTAAACCATGTTAAAAGATGTTGGGCCACAATTGGGCCAACATTTAAGTTATTGGGTTAATAATCCAGTAGAGGATAAAATAATCAAAGATATATGATTAAAAGATATTCATAAAGTTGTTTATGAGTAACCGCCTCCATCTTAAGGTAAGTCTGTTTATATTTTATTGGGCATGTGTCAGTTTAGGGTCCATGAGACAACTTATAAATACAAAGTCACTGCCAAAAGTCAGGTACGTTCCATTCACATTCTACTCACGCTCTACTGAGTTTATAATACTAAATTACCATAATATTCTTTTGTGAGCAACAACTCCTTCAATCGAAGCCTAACTTGAGTGTTGGAGTGCCTTTGCAGGTACCTCCCCCCTCTGTCTAGAAAACTCACCATGCGGTTCCCACTAAAGGCCGATCAGTCGTAGAGGAGCGAGCAGCTCGGATTGAAGGAAAGCGAGCGACTTTGACAATTTAGGCGTTCGGAGGCAAGGAGAATACGTTAGAAAGGTTAGTGTCTCGGTCCCACAAAATATCTACCGAAACATTTTGGCGCTCACCGTGGGGCCGAGAGCTAGCAGAAGAAGCCCAAATGGTGACCACAAGGAGCATGGACGAACAACAGAATACCAGAGATTTGATAGCACAAATGCAAGCACAGATACAAGCCCAGGCAAGAACCATACAAACACAAGCGCAAGCACAACAGGAGTTGCAGCGAAAGCACGCAGAGGAAATTGTGGCGCTTAGGACGAAACGAGTCCATACCGAGCGGTCCGCCTTAAACCAAGAGAATGAAAATGAGAGAAGTCATAATCAGCAGCCATCCCAGCACACCAACCCAAACGGTCGAGGAAGGAGAGGACCACCGCCCTCCAAACCATTCGGCCTACTAGTTTACTCCTTTTTACGGCGACCATCATACAAACTCCAATGCCGAAAAAGAATCCTTCTACATTAGAGAAGTATGATGGCTCGACAGATCCCGACAATCATCTCAGGATCTTCACCAATGCAATGACGTTCTACACGGACAGTGATCCGGTCATATGCAGAGCCTTCTCCTTATCACTAAAGGATGAGGCATTTGAGTGGTATAATACTCTTCGCCATCGTAGAAACCGTCTTTAGAAGGCAATACGCCTCCAATAAAAAACAAGAGATAACCCCAACGAATATGGTAAATACTAAACAGGAGAAAGGGGAAACTTTAAAGGCCTTCATGAAAAGGTACAGCGAAACCGCACAGCGAGTTAAAGAGGTTAATCACTCTTTTATTATCAACAATTTCCCTGCATGCCTGAGACCATGATATTTTACTGAAAAATTATATGCCCGACCACCAAAAACTATGGAAGAACTCCAAGAAAGAGTAGCTGAGTTCATCCGTATGGAGGATATGCGAATCTCACAAAGAAAGAAACAATAAGAAGTCTCTACAGGCGGAAGCAAGAAAGAAGGCAGGCAATCATTCAACAATAGTGACAGGAATGGAGGTACGTTTCACAAAGATTTCGTTTGAACACCCAGGTATAATCATTACACTCCCCTTAACGTACCCAGGGTAAAAGTTCTTGAGGAAGCTCTAAATACTGAACTTCATACAATTCGGAAAAAGTCTTCTCCAAAAGACGTTGACGAAAGGAAAAGCTGCCGGTTTCATCTAAACCGAGGACATACTACAGAGGAATGTGATGCATTAAAAGATGAGATAGAAATGTTCATCAGAGGAGGCCATCTGCAAAAATTTGTAGATGAAAGAACACGAACAAAAAGTCCTACTAGAGAAAATTCTCAGCACAGAGAAACCGAACGGTCATATCAAAGGGCCGAACGAAGACACAAGTAAAGTCGTAGCCGCAGTCATAGCCCTTACTGCTCAGTTCGGGGTCGTATCGTCTAGAAGATATGATAAAAATTCCTTCCTAACATGTGGAATGCGACTAATCTATAAATTTACTTAAACATTACTATCATGCTTATTTCAATTTCTTAAGGCATAGACTTTTGTTGTTTAAATTCTTTTGTTGGAATAAACACTTATGACATCACTATCACGTTTTTTTTCATGCCATCAGCCATTCGGCCTCGCATGAATTCAACCATTCCGCTTCCCACGCATTTGACCGTTCGGCCTCACATGCATTCGGCTATTCGGCGTCACATGCATTCGTCCATTCGACATCCCATGCATTCAATTCCGCCGTTCGGCCTCACAGATATTTGGTCATTCGGCCTCCCAAGTGTTCAGCCATTCGGCCTTACAAGGCAGAAGACAAGATCAGGCACACACCTCCTTTGGTCAATCCGGAGTTAACCGTTCGTACCATTCATAAAACCCAGGGAACGTTCCAAACCGAACTCCTTCGTTCAAAATCAAACGACAAAGAAAATCTCTCATGGACTATAAATCAAAGACAATCCCCCATGGACTATAAATCGAGCGGTAGAGACAGTCCTCCATGGACTATAAACCGAGCGGTAGAGACAGTCCCCCATGGACTATAAACCGAGCGGTAGAGATAGTGCCTCATGGACTATAAACCAAGCGGTAAAGACAGTCCCCCATGGACTATAAATAAAAGATAGTCCCCCATGGACTATAAACCGAGCGGTAGAGACAGTCCCCCATGGACTATAAACCGAGCGGTAGAGACAGTCCCTCATGGACTATAAACCGAGCGGTAGAGACAGTGCCTCATGGACTATAAACCAAGCAGTAAAGACAGTCCCCCATGGACTATAAACCGAGCGGTGGTGACAGTCTTTCATGGACTATGATCCGAACAATAAAGACAGACTCCCATGGACTATAAATCAAAGATAGTCGCCCATGGACTATAAATCAAAGACAGTACCCCATGGACTATAAATCAAAGACAGTCACATATGGACTATAAATTAAAGACAGTCCCTCATGGACTATAAATCGAGCGGTAGAGACAGTCCCCCATGGACTATAAACCGAGCGGTGGAGACAGTCCCTCATGGACTATCATACAAACGGTAAAGGCATTCTCCCGATGAACGCTCACTCACACGCATTCACAAGTACATGGTCATTCGGCCTCACAGGTATTCGGTCATTCGGCCTCACAAGTACTATGTTGTTCGACTTCACAAATATTCGACCATTTAGCCCAAAAAGTATTCAGTTAGTCAGCTTCATAGTGCAGATAAACAAAATGCTATCAAAGTCGCTAGTTAACGTGGGAAAAAAGTTCTATAAAGAACTCTCATCATAAGCCGATCGACCTAGTAAAAAGTTCAAAAGGTAACTCCTGAAGTCCATCATTCGGTCAGAGACGAGCAAACGACTCAAATTACAATCAAAACAACCTCCCAATAGAACAAGGATGACCTTC